AGACTGTATAGAGAAGCTGTCCTGAGAGTTCCTTGAAACGTTGCGCGGTTGGAAGATTTTACTGTTTGGAATTTCACAAGGCAAAGTTTGGAAAGCTCTAGAAGAAAGCAAAGGAAGAGTCTGAAAACAGTGAGATCACATGATATTGATGTAAGCGATCATCGAGTTGGCCACGTCCCCACCCAATATTCATATTATTCCTTAATTCAGGGGCTTTATGTTCCATACTATGACATTTGCTGCAATGTACTTGGTACCTGCTTTTTGGTTATGTAATTATCAGTTTTGTTGAAGATGCAATAACTAGAATAAACTGACTATCCAATGTTGTTTCATAAGGCACAGAGGCTGTTACAAGGAAGTCGTGGGATAGGCAACTGTATACAAGAGTCGACCAGAAATAAAGATCAGAATGTAAAACCAGAGTTGGGTATCTTTGAGGTTAACAAAGACTTGCAAGGGAGACGTCACAATCCCTTTGCAGAAAAAAAACATGGCATAATTAAGTGCTTCAAAAATAAAACCAAATAAAATAAAAATAAAATAGATAGTAAATACAAATAAAAATGAAGAAAAGTTTTATTAACCCCATTTTAGGATTCTTCGAACATCGTATCATCCCACCCGCCTTGGGCCAGAAGATCTTGCTGTACACGCGTTTTAACGCATCCAAGCTGCTTGCCTAGAGCCTCATCCCATTGCTGCTCAACCATTACAACTTTGTCCTTCAGATCAGCAGTCAATCTTCTTTCTTCCTCCTCACTCGATTCTTTCATTTCGCCCTGGATGCACTCTCCTGGCTCACCAGATATTATGCGCTGCAGCTCCATAACGTTACAATTTGCCTTCATGAGACTAGTTTTAACTTCATGGAGTAGGCAAAGCAGATTGGTTTGAGATTCGATGAACTGGTAAGTGGACTTTTCGGCGTGAGAGAGAAGGGAGTAGAGGTACTGCAGGGGGAACTGGTAGTAGCTACGGTTTTCGGTATACTCCTTCGCAGGGATCTGGACAGTAAACGATCGAAGGTCCTCGGGAATTTTCTGGAGGACAGTGACGAGAGAGGGTGCAATATCCCAAAAGGCTGAAAGCTGAGTCTCCACTCCCCTTCCGACGTTTTCCTCGATGACTTCCATGAAGCTTTCGAAACGCCGCAGCGTTTCCGTAGCGAACGTCAGCTTCCGGTTTCGTTCGTCTTGTAGGAAGAACGAGTCTGTTTCGAGAAGCTTCTCTTGGTTCTTAGCCTGCTTGTATGGCAAAGTAACGATAGCTCGATAGCGCTCATTACGCTCGCTTTCAAGCGCGTACACCTCTCGATGCAGCTGCTCAAGAGCTTCAAACAGCCATTTAAGTTGTGTCAGCTTTTCCAGCAACTCTGGTCGTTCATCCCCCTCCTCCTGTGTTTGATTGTGAATTCCATCCTGCGTTGAATCAACCAACTTGCTTCGGAGGTTGTCAATACAGGTGGACGCAATCTCGATGCGGTCCTTGAGGATAATCTGTAACGGTTGGAACACCACCTCTTGAAAAGAATCGAATTCTGCCTGAACCAACTCCTTTTCCCGCTTCTGTTCCTCGACAAGATGGACTGCCTCCGCCTCAGCAGCTTCCGCATAAGATAATGTCCCTTGTTCGATGCGGTTATTCATATTTGATCTAAATGCTCGTCGAGATTCCTTCATTTTCATTTGATGTTCATGCTGAAGTTTTTCAAGCTTCACTTTGTGGCTTTCCTTTGTTTCTTGGACTTCCGTAAGATCGCTTACAGTTCTCACAGTACTACGAAAGTATAAGAGATCCGGGTGACTGTTATTAACTGCAGGATAGTGCCTGGGGTATGGTGGCGGAAGTGTAACGAATCTTGAGATATCAAGAGTCGGGATCTGACAATCAAGAGAATGTGAACCCATCGGTGGGGGAGGGACAGAAGGCTGCCTTTCCCCCCAACCGACTTTTTCCGGGGGATATTCATTTGGTCCATACGTAGCAGAAAAACTGAAAGCCGGAGGACCAGTTGGCGATAGATTCCCGTCAATTACTCCTGCTGAAAAGTGCTCCAACTGCATCGCTTCACGCACTTCTCGAGGGACGCCCATGTACTTCGCTTCCTGTTTGGATCGTCTGATCTTTTTTCCAGAGCCACCACTGTCAGACCCAGTCTGCGACTCCCACCAGCGACTGGGAGCTCTCCCTCTGGAACTCATTTCATCATTGTTTATGCTTATGCTACCAATTGGAGATAGTGACGGCTTGTAGTTATTCCACCAGCCAGATTCCGCCCGTGTTTGTCGAACGTCAGACGAAATGAGAATCGACGGAGCTACTCGAGTACTTATGCGAGTTGGTGGAGGGACATCTGTTGGGGCACTATTGTGTTGTGTGGAATCCAGTCGAAAAATCCTGTCACAAAACTTTTGTAGGTCAAATAAGCCGGTCTTGCAGGCAAGAGCGTAGCGTTGTTGCCGTATACTGAACTCAGATACCATGAAATCGGCAAATAATTCTAAACCCTCGACTTCAGTGGACGCGGAAGCTTCCTTTTCTATGAAATCGCGATGTCGCAGAACAGCATCGCGGACAAATTCATCATTTGCGTATTCTACCACTCTGTTAGACTGGAGTAGGCCTGGGGACAATTTGCTTGAAATCGATGGCATGTGCTGTTGCGTGCCGTTAGTTGGTGAATCCGGTAGATGTGAGGCAGACCTCTCCTGCTCACTAGATCTGGATATTGACGTAGAGCTACGCTCCCGAATGGCCTGGAGCGGTGGTGTTGGCAACGCTCTTGGCGGCAGCATCTGGGTCGTCGATCCAGGAAAAGATGGTGACTGCAGGTCATTGCCAGGAGAAAATGGAGGCGTTTGGGCATAACTGCTTGATTGACCAAAGTTATCAAGAGATGGTGTTTGTGGTTGTTTGGGGGTGAATTGCGCAGAATCAGTTGATGGTAACAAGACAAACGGAGACTTAGAGATGGAACCAGTCAACTGGCCATCTGACTGCGCGGTTCGTGGGGTTCGAGGAGTATGTTTCGTTACGGTGCGGCGACGCATAAGCCCTGGACCACCTGGATTCCCAAGGACTAGGTCGCTAGGCCAGGAAGGGTCCGATGATTCACCCTTTGTCGTATTACTGGAATCAGAATTTGTTGTCCCAGAAACTTGTTCTTTCCTGCTCTCAATTCTGCGCTCTCTAATGCCCTTGGCGCTTATGCCTCTGGTAGATGGAGGGTCGTCTCTTCGGGGTATAACTGGAGCTGGGCCTTGGCGATGCCGTGTCAAGCGAGCCAATTCGTCAGAAGGCGCGTAATTATTTGCGTTTTGTGGTAGGGAACCCGCACGATCTCTTGAACTTTCTGAGCGCCTGTTCACGACGAAGGCTTGATCCACCCATCCGGCAGGTGTGGGTGGGACTTCACCAAGACTGGTCCCCAATACCGGTGGCGATCTATGACGGCTTGACCGGTTTGATCCTTCTTGGGAAGGGCCTCGAGACGACTCTCTTGATTGGTGAGAACCACCACCGGGTGGTGGCCCAGGAGGAGGAGGCGGGAGCGGCATTCCCGGCTCCCAGCGACCAGCTTGGTGAGGAAGCCAAGCATATGATGCATTTGCATTCCTGCTCGGTCCTATATCACCCGTAGAAGCAGCTCTCTTCGATGATGGAGGTCGAATAGTATTGTCGAGAGGCTGTCTTGACGTGGAGAATCCCATACCGGCAACATTTGGGTTTGCATTGTATTGCAGTACACCTGGTCCACTTTGTACAGCGGATTGTGAATGGTGGCCACTCACATTTGGAGCTTGGACTGATTGCGGCTGAGCATCACCAACAACATCACCATTTTGAATCATCGACACGGGTCGTGGCCGGGATGCAGGATAGCTATATCCGGAGCCCGACTCCAGAGTTATTCCGGAGATTGGGGAGTTGTACTGAGCCGTAGCCGCCAACGGCGAAACGCTCACACCCAAGGCTAAATTAGGCGATTGGTCGGCGCGTGTCTCCGCAGGTTTTGGATGTCTCGGAGAGTAAGGTGGAGGGGGAATGGGTGGGGTATCTGTATTGTGGTATTATCAGTCTCCTGCATCTTTTAACCACAATGCGCTTCTAAATACTAGTCCTTCACGCGTAACAAAAGCGGAGTATGAAGCTGTCAATCGAAGGGTGAGGAAGTATCACCGTTTGCAGGAACAAACGCGCTCATCCCAACACTGGGAGACACATTTCCTCTAATGGGTCCCCATTCCTGGGGATTGTAAGGTGCGTTGAAGGACACATGTCTTGATGACATCGGCGTAGTGATCGCGCTCAGCTCTCCCGACGAGGTAGTGAACGACGACCGCATCGGCGAAAACGGGCTAGAAAAAGAATTCATCGAGCTCGGAGTTGGCGCGTAACTAGGGCTGGGAGGCAGTCCAGCGCCCTGAAATTGAACCCCGCTCAAGGATGTCGTGAGAGAGGGAGGCTGTGCAACATTATCTCGACGAGGAGGAAAGACCTGTGCGCCGGAAAGGGGCGGAGCGGGAGGAGGAACAATCAAGCGTGGAGGATTCCGATGTGGTTCTGAACCACGCGACCTGGAGTCCGACCAGCTGATAGGAGAGATTCCAGAATCAGTCTACACCCTCATAGTGGCAGGAGGGAGGGAGAGGGAGAGAACCACATAGACAGCGGATTCGAAAAGAGTAAAAAGAATAAGGGGAAATTCACCTATTCATATCGTGATGGAAAGAAGTAGCCCCGGCCAGGGTCAGCAGCCACCCCAAAGTGTGGGCATCACACCAGGAATAGAACAACAATAGCAATTTCATTAACCAAAGCGTCCAGCACAAAACTAGAAAGTTTCAAACATGGGAATAGGAGTGTCTCCAGCCTATCTACATCATTCATTGGTGCTCAGGATAGATAATGACATGAAAACCATTCAGGCACACGGAATCAATAGAGGCGGGCTCGACGGCCATCAATAACTTCCACTAGGCGAGTTATTTTTATTCTCTGCAGCCAAATCCACGCTTGGGGCATCAGAAAGAAACGGAAGCCTCTGAGAGGCCAGCTTGAGAGCCTTAGAGTCTGAATTTAGAAGTTCAACACCGTTGGGCCGCCTGGAGCAGAGTTGGGATCGTCCGCCCGGTCGCCAGTCGTTGTTAGTTCCAGCCTCCAGGTGCCTGCTCCTGGACTACGGCGATTTATTAGTGAGCTCTGAGAGGAGAAGTCTGCTTCCGTCAATGATCGGCTCGCTTAAAACTCTCTAGTGTGACAAGCCTTGAGAAATGGCTGGACTCGCACAGTCGCACTTGGGGTGATGCCAGGATGGCTCCCTTCATGCTTCTGCTGCGTAGCCTCCATGTCGGGAAAGTGGAAATGCCAAATTGGCTCGATACTGATCCTTGTCAAGCCTGTCCGACGCCAACGTGCTCTGTTCACCAGGCCAACAGCCCGGTAAATCTCGCCTAGCGTGATCTGGCTAGACAGGCATGCAGCACAAGAACTGGGCGGTTAATCGAAAAACTGATTTGCCAGCTCTGATCGCTGCTTGGATTATCTGCTATGGTTGGTCAGCCACAGTTCTGAAATGCAAGAAGAGCCCCGTAGCCACTGGCATGTCTTTAAATAGAAGCAAGTTAGCATTTCATCATCTATCTCGAGCCAAGGTTTAACCATACCATGAAAACAACGCATCGGTAGGCTCCATAACAACATCTCAATGCTGACTTTTCATTTAATGACTATTGCTCCTGTTCAACGGGTGAGGTTGTACAATGGGTCTGTCTTGACTCTGAAGTTATACAGTATGTCCGGGCGAGAGCAGGTGGAGGCTCCGTAAGCTGGTATTGGGTTGTATTTATTACACCCTAGCACCAGCTCACACGGGCTCCTGCTGGCGTTCTGGTGTGTAATTTAAAACTCCGTATGTTTTGGTAGGGTCACCGGTCCCTGTGGTCAGGTCATGTAATGAAGGCCAAGACGTGGTTGTGTCTGCATAGCGGTGCTCCACAAACAGAAATACTTGTTCTGCAGTGTCAGCTCCCATGTAAAAACAAGTAACTAACTACCCTTCATACAGCTGAACTCTCCATGTAAACCAACTACATGATTCCAGCCGACCAACAATATATTCAAAATGACTACGAAGTAGTCTGACCAAAAAAGCTTCTGCAAGAACAGGATGGATGATGTTGATCTGACCTGTATTGTCTTGAGCTTGTTATTAATGTGTTCAGATCGATTTCATGGGCATCAAAGGCCAGTCTTCCTGTTCTCCAAGTATGCATTAAGTGCCTAGGAAGAAGAAATGTCATAAATTAAAAAATTGAAGACTTTGCTTTGGCCTTACCTTGGTTTGTCCCTTGTTTGAGCGCTTTTCACTGATTTAGTATGGATATCCACGTCACGATGAAGTTGTGCAATATCCCACACTAATTCCAGTCTTCCTTGATTGGGAGTTATTGCACGCGGACATGCGAGCATGAAACCATCCATTCAACCGACAGACCTGAAATTCCCAGCACAGAGTTAAGTAGGTACTTCGGGAACTGACGTCTGGTGGTGGGTAGGACGATTCCTGCTTCTAAAGAGAAATGCTCAACAGATTCTAACAACAACTTTCTTTACATTAAACCCCACAGCTTGTACAACCGCAGACTCTCCACACCGGATGCCCCGACATTCCACGCGAAACTCCACTGTCTCACGAGGAAAGAGTGTGACATAGCTATCCGACCAGAATATGGGGGCAGACTCTTTTCCATCTTCTGAATCCAGAGCACTTAACCGCAGGCACATGGCAGGGATATCAGATTCGTTTTGGAGGGTAATGAGAGCATCTCCATCACCACTATCTACACTTCTTTCCAGGAATTGAACCGACAGCTTCTCAGATGCTGGGTCGAATTGAGTCACAACTGTGAAATCAGAATACCTGGTGACTGTTGTATGATAACATGTAGAGTTATCCCAGTCAAGAACGCCCAACTTCCGTGGAATCCAATACACATTGCGACTGATGAGGGTTTGGTCTCTTTCCCATCTCTTAATTCCAGTTTGAAGAGCATCACATCCTGTACCATATCGAGGGCGGGAATCCTGGCCACGATTTTTCTTGATGAATTGGGTTGTGAATGGGTTATTTGTGCTTCTCCTTGGCGAGGGAATTGCCTCTGATACCAACCGCATTAAATGGATATAGATCGTTCGCCGCTATTCACCAAGGAATGGTTGATGATATGCGCTTCCTTTCCACATAATCGAACGCGACATGTTCAGTCCTCGTGCCCATTTTGGTTCCAAATGAGGATCCCGTGGGGTTTAAGTGGTAGTCGAATAGGCTCCAGTGCATAGTTGGCCAAGCTCCATTTAACATCCAGTATATGCTTTTTTAAATGCATATCAGTTCGTACAATTTTCGCTTGGAAAGATTTGAAAGAAAAGTAACTGGAATTATCAAGACTTACAGTCCAGTGGCCGGACGAGTAGCGCTTTTGTGCACTACATAGTTTTCAAATTGGGCACGCGTCGCCTCATAATCCATGATTTGCACCTTAGTCAAGTAGTCTTCCAAACTCGTGGGTTTCCCATAACAAGCGCACAGCGCCTCGTTGTAAATCTTTCGATCATCAAAACTTCCTGGCATCCTGGATAGGTGATACAGAATTTGGTCCGGTTTTGTCCACAACTCTTCAGTTTCCTCTCAGTGAAGAATTTCTTCAAACTAGCAAGTTCAGGCGAGCCAACATCAGGGCCAAGCTCAGATTCAAACCTGAACGCGGCACCAAGCCGGTTATCATACCGGTATTTCGGGGGTACCCAGTCGTAGGGTCCCTCCATTTTCATGCCAGACGACCCGACAAGTTCGCAAAAGCCTCTCTAAGCTGCAGAGGAAATAACAGGGGCATTTCAATGCATACGCTCGAGTAATTCGAGAGCTACCATCTCCCTTAATAACTTATTTGGGTATACAGTATACCCCTTTTGGACTCCGCAACATTGTTCCGAGTATCCGTTTTGACCGTAAGCTTAACTTCCCGCACTCCGGGCTCAGCGAAATCAGTCACGATGCACGGAGGAGACGATATTGAAACCAGACCAGTTTGGGAGAGCCCAACATCCCGCCAAACACCAGTGCTATTGTCGGGGGGATACGGGTTCCAGTTGATAAAACCAATTGCAAGATCCCGGTCGTAGCAAGTTGGATACGTTTTAATGAGAAGAGAGTTGGGCCCTGCACGTACGTGCTCTGTAACCTCATCATATCTTTGACAACCGTAAGATCCCACTTGAGTGTTCTTCGAGGCAACCAATGCGCCGTTTAAATAGATATCAGCCCTCGACGTGGTGCCGTGTGTCTGGAGGAAGAAATGGCCATTCCTGCGTGGATCCAGGTCAAACTCTTCCCGGTACAAGCACGGCACATGAAACTTCGCCTTGACAGCAATTGCTGTGCGACTCAGATTGTCCGAGAAAAACAACTCTGTTTCGTCATAGACGCCATTATCTATCAAACCTGCCATCACAGCACCCCGTGAACCGATTCGACATCAAGATGAAACATCCACCCCGCTCATGGAGAGGGAGCTGAGATTGAGAGAACACATTCTGTTGATTGAATATGCCAGCCTGGAATCGCCTTGCGACTTCCAGACGAGGAGACAAGAGGGGAACGCGTTGCGATTGTTATGATGTGAAGCAAAGGTAGTACTACGAGCAGTCTGGAAAGGTTAAGAATGTGTCTCATGGCGTTGGGACTTCACTCTAACGCGGCAGTGGAGAAAGCCTGGAGAGCCTTGTTATCAAACAGTTTCCAGATCCATGTCTTGCATATTTGCTTCAGCCATCACCATCTAGCATGACTGAGGGTAATGAGGGGAAGATCTGACAATGGCCATAGGGTGAGGAATCCCAACCGTCCATTCATCAACGGTGTAACCTGCATGTTTGAACCAGAATTGGAATGTACGTGTAACTGACGCAAGACTCAAACGAACAACGGAAAATGACTTTTCGAGCGTTAACTTCTAAAGGACTACTTAGTCTTGAAAAAAAAAAAAAAAACCAAGTAGGTAACAATCATATATATATGTATATATATCTTGTGCTAATCCTCAAATACTGGTAAGTGATGAGAATGCAAGGGACTCCATATAAGGCTTCAGCAATCTTCATATCTTCGTACGGGCTCCGAATCGCGTGGACAACTGCCTTCTGACAAGTGCGCACTCGCAAGGTCAATCCAATATAACATAAGAACAATCACAGAGTCAGGAAACCTTGAGTTATTCTTATTTTGGTCTTCAGTGACTGCTGGTTCGCCCCATTGTGGCAGGGAACCACAAAAGAGCAGTGAAAGAATTGAGCGTCTCTAAGGCCAGGGATGTAGTTGAACTTGCAACAGGACATCCCACGTACTTTGTACATCAAGATGGAATTATTGGGTATAACATTCGAAAAGCAGAGTAATATTCAGATTTTGGCAATAATTCTACACAGTAGTTGTATGCGAACATGCAACTGTCTACGTTTATTTGTTGCCATGTGAAAACAAAGGGCTGCAGGATAATAGACAAAGCCGATATATCAAGTGATGTCAAATATATGGCGTTCGAAAGGCATTAACCATCCAGCCATCATTCGAGCACGTTAGAAAGGCTCATAGCATCAGAACGCTATCACCAAACAAATGGTGACAACAACATAATTACCAAAAGATTATAGGACTGTTCGTCGCATCTTGGGTTACTGAGTAAAACCATTAGCCTCTTAGCCAAAAGGAGGGAATGTCGAGGAAGCAATCTTAAAGAGCAAGGAATGGAGGTGTCAGATATAATGCCCTGTCAAAGGCGGTGGTCATCAATGTATAGTATGTTGACCGTCGTGATAAAATAATACATAAATCATCATGTAAGGGGTAGGATAAAGGCAAAGACGGGAGGGAATACACACCTCTGTTGTAAGAGCTTGCTTTCAAGAAGTCAATTAAGCCTGGATATATCTAGGAGGACAAAGTCAGCTCCCACGCATGAATTTTGGACAGAACAGTTGATAACGTTTTAACAGTTGGTCAGGCAAATGACGGAATCGTCTTCGCCGACAAAGTCGGCTTGGACATATGCTTGTCTTTTCTAATGTCATATCATCATGGAGATGCAGGAATAGCTTATGGTAAGACGGACGTAGGGTTAGTGGCATCTACTTGCTGAAGGGCCAGACAGAAGAATTAATGGCCAACCAATCTCGCATTAAACCTGCGTTGGTAAAGTCAGTTAAAGCCTCACTAAATGCGCATATTTGGAGCAAAAAGGAGCTAAAATATTTTCAGAAAAGCATGAATGGTATTAATATAAAAAAAGTTGTCTGCATCGAAAACTCGGATAAGACTCGTCATCTAGGGGTTCATCATGTGACAAATGGGCAATAAATAAATAAATGTTTATGTACACACCCTTGATCATACTCTGACGATGGACAACAACTAGGGCTGTAATGTATTCTGCTATGTCGGAGGATATTAGAATTTTATCTCGCCATCGGAATTGATATTATAGGTGAGGTTAAAATGAAAAATCAGTGGGCGAGGTTTTCTAGGCCTGCCGCAATATGGCATATCCAATCATAAACCGGGTTGCTGTATCAATGCCCGTCGGAGCCCAGTGCCATTCATCCTGCAAGGGTATAGTTGGAGTGTGACAAAAAAAAAGAGAGACAGAGAGAGAGAGAGAAATGGTGAGCAGGCTCTTACGGGACAGAGCTGGCAGCTTCCATCATACAGATGGAAGTCAGCATCATTCGGATCAGCAAAGTGCCATTGTCATCTGTTCAATTGGGCAGGTTAGCGGATGCAACCAGCCAGATGAATTGACATTGATGAAAGCAGCACGGAGCACAAATTGGGAATCAGAAATAGCCATTTAATATCGTCAACGACCCGAAGGGTTTCAGCCGGTAATTTCCAGCGTATATTATACGAAAATGATCATCATAAGAAGAAATTGGGACGCAGGTAGTGGAGAAAACATACCTTAGTGATCCTGGTATGAAAACACAGTGGAACTGCAGAGTTGGGGGAGTTCTATGAATCTGTTAAGATGGTCAGCAAGGTGCTCATTCAAGCTACTTAACAGAACTGAGTCTCAGCATCGGAACGAATTAAGTCAATATCAGTCTGACGTGCAAAATAGTTTCACACCCCCGTAGAGGTCAAAGACTCTAGTTTTTGCGGTTATGCGAATCATCACCAAGGCAAAGGAAACGGTTGGGAGAAATGATGCGGATGAAGAACATACCAGATAAGCATAATGACTACTGAAACGCTTGCGGTAGTTGGCAAAGAAGGAAAAGGCATAACAATATCGCCAGATACTCTTCCAGACACAATTGTCGGCGCCGACTGCTCGGGTTACTGTTTTGTTACTGTTTTGCTTTGTGCATTGTGGGAGTTGGAAGTGGTAAAAGAAATAATATCGCCTTTTTTTTCAACGTTGCGCTTACCGAGGCACCTTTCCTAATGCGGCTAAAGGTTTGCATTGTTTGCATACAACGGTCATGTGACCAAGTATTCTCGCTGCTTAGGTAATATTCAATTATGAGGCTGACTTTGTGTTCTAAAAGCTATATTTTAGATCGTCTGAACGACGGGATATCTGGGGGAAAGGTGCATTTCTGTATAATGATCCCAAAGAGGATGTGACTTTGTTTGTGTGCGTGGAATATCCAGACTCATTGTGCCTGCTTGCATCCACATTTTCGAGCTTCTTCTTGTCTGGCCACCGTGAGCTCATGTGATGGAGAGGTTCCCAAGGTTACAGGGCCATACGGATGAAGGGTTGTTCCAATGGCAATTTCTGGTTCCGGTGTATTAGATCTGAGACCGTCCCTCTCATATGTTCGGGGATCTTCTCACGGAATCAACGGCAATCCCGCAACTATAACACGAATTATAGCAGAGTTACAATGGGGATATGGGATGAGTCTATGCCTTCAATCCATCTTTACTAAAAGGGCCTTCACGTCATCTCAGAATTGCCCATGTTCCTGGTTGTTTTATGTTCCCCGTGAACCGAACCAGAATCCAAGAGGTGGAGATAGCCGGAGCAAACTCGAAAATAACCCGGATAGTTGGGAGGTTGCAGCGGGATGACATTCTTATTATTAACACCGACAGCAATCTCCTAGAGGCGTTTCGAATTCATTCAGGTACAGTTGAACAAGGAGGAGAAAGATGTATGTCTAACCATGGAACTGGGGAGATCGAGAAATAGCAAACCAATAATAATAGCCGAGTCTACGGTTGTTCACGGGCAGACATCCCCCGATACTGAGCCAGGAAATAGATTCGACCCGGTTGGTCAACCATAGTTACCTGGATTTTCCTCACTTCGACCTCTTGAGCCTGGTGTGGCTTCTCCGAGGTCTGCTCCGGTTCCAAGCATTGCATTTAGATTATCATTTCGTCACCCACTCCTCATCTAGTATACTCCACAAACCTTACCCCCTCCGTGCAACTAGTTAATAACCCATGAATTTGATTCTGTTCATCTCAGGTAATTTAAATATCATTGAACAGTACACATACACGAACTTGTTTTGCCTCATCAATCTCTATACTCCGTGCTGGTTTTGTCAATCCTCATCCACCTCCATTTCCTCAACCTAACCGCTAAATCCCCTCCAACCCCTCATATAGACATAAATCTCCTCCATTGGACTGTGTGACACCCTTTGCAATTTGTTTTGGCTAAATATCTCACTATTACCAAACGTTTCGCCCTTTCGAACTTTTCCCCAATTCTCCCTAATATTCCGTTATCATGTCTCATGCGAACGGCGGCAACTCTGCCCCCGTGGGCCATGAAAAGATCAACACCGACATCATCTCTCTTACAAGGTTCCTTACAGAAGAGCAGACAAAACACCCAGAAGCCACTGGTGACTTTACGTAAGTTTAATTTCTATGCCTTGCAGTGTTTACATCTTTGTTCGATATCCGCGCTTGATGGCTGGCTTGTCAATGATACAGCCAGGCCAGGCCCCGTTGCTGGGAATGAGCAATTTGATTTGTCTAATTGACGTGGCCCTTATTTCTACAGCCTCTTATGCCATGCCCTTCAATTCTCCTTCAAATCCATCGCATACTACATCCGACGTGCCTCCTTAATCAACCTCAACGGGCTTGCGGGTTCCGCAAATACCACCGGAGATGACCAGAAGAAATTGGACGTGATCGGAAACGACCTGTTCATCGCAGCAATGCGCGGATCAGGCAAATGCCGCCTCCTGGTCTCTGAAGAAGAGGAGGAAGCCATTATATTTAACGAGAGCCCATATGCCCGATACGCCGTCGTCTGCGACCCCATCGACGGCTCCTCCAACCTCGACGCTGGTGTTTCTGTCGGAACCATTTTTGGAATTTTCAAGCTTCCAGATGAGCTCCTTGGGCCCAGCAAGACAGTCACAGCCAAAGACGTCCTACACCCAGGAACAGACCTGGTCGCCTCCGGTTTCACAATGTACGGCGCCTCCGCCCAACTCGTAATCACCATGAAGGGCGGCACCGTCAACGGTTTCACCATGGAGAACTCCCTGGGCGAGTTTATACTGACACACCCCAACATGCAACTCCCCGCCAAACGTGCAATCTATAGCGTTAACGAAGGGAACTCTATGTACTGGGATCAATGGGTCAAGGAGTACTTCAACGATCTTAAATTCCCTTCCAACGGCAAACCCTACAGCGCTCGATACATAGGTAGTATGGTTGCAGATGCGTACCGGACGCTGCTGTATGGAGGTATTTTTGCATATCCGGCTGACTCGAAGAGCCCCAAGGGGAAATTGCGTATCTTGTATGAATGCGCGCCAATGGCATTGATATTTGAGAACGCTGGAGGCCAGGCGCTCAATTCCAACATGAAGAGACTTCTCGATGTTGTCCCTGAGGATATTCATGACCGTAGTGGTGTATTCTTAGGCAGTTATGACGAGATAGAGAAAGTCAAATCTTTCCATCAGAAGTACAGCAAATAGGTTGGGTCTCTGTTCTCTTTTCTTGTTTTTCTTTTTTCTTTCTTTTTTTTTTTCTTTTCTCAAGGTTTTCAGTCTAGGATTTTCATTTTATATGTCGTTAACCATTATTTTCATGTTTTCAATACTCTATATCATCATGCTGGGGAATGAAATGTCCCTGATATGGTTGAATGTCTGAAAGGAGGTTTTGACTCGCGGACGTTGAAAGCCCATCAAGCGACCAAACTGTCCATCAAGTTCGCATTGTGTATTTCTCCAAAAGGTGCAACTATACTGCAGCCATTCTTTGCCGAGCTTTGAGGCCATAGCAAAGGAAAAAAATAAAAATAAAAAATAAAAAATAAAAGTAATAAAAAATATAAAAATAAAATAAAAAGCAAAGAAAATATCCCCTTAAAAATTGCCGGACCGCAGATGTCCGATTGGACCGACTTGACGCTCAAGCTCCTCTCTCCAAGCAACCACCAGAACTCGTGCGTGCATAAATACTGCTATAACCCCAGACCTTGCTAGTTATCCAATGTAAAAAGATTTTGTCATACAATCGAATCTATAGGAGAAGCTGGAGAAATGATGAAGCGGAATTAAATCGAGTTAACTTCTAGAGTTGATCAAGTGTCCACCCTAAGTAGCTTGGATGGAAGAGATTTTTTTTTCAACAACCATCTCACAAAGTAATCCATTTCCATCGTGTTTCGACCAAGGAACAATTCGCATTCCAAGCTGAGAGAGGAGGAGAAAGAAGGAGAAGAAGTCTGCCCTTTTGACATTGTCTCAGCTTTTAACCCTTTATTCCACCCTTGCATGATGGCCAAAGGAGAGTAACTAATGCGCTGATCATGAACATCTAATCCGTGGAAAACAAACATTGTGAATGTCAAAATGCCTGGTTAACTACCCTACAGAACCACTTCCTGCTAGGGAAGATGGCTTGTCAAGAGGGCAATACGTGGCGCTGCGTGGAGCAATCGCATCTCAGATCGTGAACGACGCAGCTCGTCCAAGTAATGCCTTTTACAGGCATGCAGCTCAGCGTACCTTATCGTGGGCTCCAAGGCTGCAAGCAACGAAGGGCCGTATATATATATACGCAGAAGTCTGAGAAATAGCCCAAGCTGCCATATGACGCAAAATGCGTCAAAATATTTCGGAGCTGACAACTCGTCTTGAAGAGCAGTTATGAGTTGAAGGCGAGATACTATCCTGCTCCGACCCTATCATCGCAATATCATATGGTTTCGATTCCGTATCTTGTCCACTTTGGACTCCCCACTGTTGCATGTCCAAGGTCATGCAAGCATTCCTCAAGCAAACACGCGCTCTTCTCCATTATTTCGCGCCTTCTTTTAGCACTTCTGGAACTACTGGATCTCTGAATCTGTCTGCCAATTCCAAGGAAATTGGATATACTATTCTAATGAAATATCGCGAAGGCCACCCGCTGGGAATCCTTGAAATATGTATCACGCCCTACACGTCAGCCGGGAAACGGTAGGCTTCCTCTTTTCTATCGTCCTAAAATCGCCAGAACTTTCACTAGATTGAAGGCAGCAGCATTAGACTTCAATCGAATTATACAGAAAAGGTGGACAAATCGTTTGCATGAAAACAAACTTGATCCCAGAGAGAACCATGTTATCGAACTTTCAGACCTTTGGCTGAGAGGCATGGAGGTGATGTTGTGGGCACAAAGGAGCTGGATTTTGTTGCTTCCAGGCCTTTGAAAGTTGGCCCAGCTTCAAACTGAAAAATGTGAATCTTTGTCAAAGAATTAATCATAAAATGGTCTGATAAGGGTCTACAATGGGCTTTATTAACACAACCATATCACTATCCCCTGACTTCCACTGCATGCTGCTCTCGCCATTCAATTGCCATGGATATATTTGTTTACATTCCTGACATCCCCAGATAAATTTTTCAAATATTTCCAGTCTCCATCTTCCAATATTCTGTTTTCTCTTTGCTTCTATCTTCTCTCTCACTGTGTTGTCTCTTGCAACAACACCTCGCTCGTCAGTCCACTATCACCGCGCCCGAAAACGCGTCTTTAACTAAGTCTCTAATCCTGTTAATATTACTAAACGAGTGCTAATTCCAAGTTCGTGCAATTCGCGTGGTGGCCTTCAAATGGCGAATCTAAAGATCAAACGTTATGGCCAGCCAGGCTTTGACCCTGATACCCGTCTTATCGTCTTCGATGAGGAGCTCCATGTGAACTCGGCAATCTTGAGGTTGCACTCGCAATTCTTTCAAACGTTTCTGGACCATTACGATGTGGATGAAAATATTCAGCATGATCCTCACTCAAGTTTTCGGTACGAATACGTCCTAAAAGGGGGTTATGACGGAGTGTATGGCTTGCAGCCGCTTGGGAACGTAAAATCTGGCATAGGTGACGCGGTAAAGTACACTTATGGTGTTGAAGGTTAAAAAAACTTGAATATGGCTAATGAAGTTATCAGGATGGAAGAGACAATGAAATCGAATACCACAGTACAGTTGCGGAACTAAGAGAGACATGGAATCTTGAACAGTTGATGAATGCTTTCTACGTTAAACCATCAACCATCGAAGACCTGGAAGAGCTTGAAGAGTTGGTTCGAACGGCCGATTTCTACAGTGCTTTGCCAATTGTATCCAAATTTGTTGAGTCCAGCCTGCAGATTAGTGAAGAGTTGCTTTACAACATCCCCAAGTTTCCGATAGAGCACGCGGTAAAGATACTATGCTTAGCACGGAAGTTGGAAGCCAGCAGTTTATTCCGGGAAACGTTTATCCATGTCATCGCTTTCTCTAATAGTGATGATGGCCACAGCTACAAAGGGATTATCGAAGAGCTAAAGCTACAACACAATGAAGACTTGATTCCGCTGGTCACTCGATACCACGCGCTCTTGTGCAAGGAGATTGCAAATGCAAACTTCTTTCTGATGAAGTGTTGCCTGAATCAAGAACATCTGATTCTTCGCCCGCATGCCACTTCTAAAGACAGGGAGCTTGCGCTCATATCAGAGGTTATTCGACATGAACTCCAGCCTGGGAATGGATATGCCAACCTAGAGCGATTTTCCGCAGGCTTTTACCAGAAACTGTGTGATGCACCGTTTGCACCAACCTCGAATCAAGCATTAAGGTATGGCGAAAATTATGAACCAGGGACACACCATATTCAGACTCTTTCCCGCCAGCTTCAACAGAAGGTTGTGGCGCATGTCAGAAAAGGTCTCTGGCCTGTGACTAGGAACTGTCTTCAGTTCAATTACCCGCGTCATACGGCTGAATATCAGCCCGGGAGACGTGACGCTTTTCTCTGCACACAACTGGAGGATAGTGATTTACCTTGGCACTCTTGATTTGCTTCGTCGGACTTTGGACCTGCTTCACCCTGACTTGCAAAGCATTAAATCCAAGAAATATCGGTAATTTTTCTGGCGGGTGTTCATTGAGGGATTTAATCTTCGCTACACGTATACTTTACTGCGGGAATAGCAAGAATTCGGGGGCAGAAGCTGCCAGTGGTTAAACCTACCAATAACCCTTACTGCTTGGACACATTGGTGCTATTTGATATTTGTGGTTTTTTGCTACGGCTGACATTTGGCGATTGGGAGAAGATTTCCATCAGCATGTAATGCTAGATACGTTTACAACAATTTCACGCGGTTGAAAGGAGACCCTCTATATTCTCGCGCATAGTAAGATGGTAGCATTCGTAGTACAATATTCACTGCATATCCCAATCTGATGCAATAAAACGAGAACGGGGTTTTCTGTAAAGTTGGATAGATGATATGGTTCCAGGCAAAAGTGGACATTGGTCAAATTGCCCTGCTTAGTGAAATAGCAATTCTCTTCAACGTCCATGATAACCACCGTCGACCTAGGGTATAAATGTAAGTAAAAGACGCAGATCTGGCATTTATAAGGGCCCATCACCGGAGGATCCTGCCGGTGATTCACGGAGAGACATACTGTCAAAATCTCACCAGTGATATAAGCGCTAGCTCTACTGGCTAAAAACACAGTAGGACCTTTCAGGTCTTCTGGATTCCCCCAGTGGCCGGCCGGGATTCTATCCGTGATGCTCTTGAGATACATTGGATCACCAGTCACTGTATCCCGAATCATATCTGTTGCAATATATCTATCAGGGTTAATACACACATTAGCGTCAGGCCCTTACTCATAATTGGTGATAAACTAACACCCATCCAAACGGAAACAGTGATATGAAAAACATTATCATACCCCGGCGCAATCGCATTTACATTAATCCCCTTGGAAGCCCACTCATTACTCAAAGCCTTCGTCAACTGCCCAACGCCCCCTTTACTCATTGAGTACGCGGGAATCCTCACACTGCCGAAAAACGTACACAAACTAGCCACGTTAATAATCTTGCGATCATGCATATTATGTTCAATCCAGTATTTGCCCATATCCCTGCAGAGTGTAAAAGTGGCACTGAGATTGACCTGCATGATGTCTTCGTACGCCTCCAGCGGGAAGTTTTCAGCATCACAGCGGTGCTGAATCCCCGCTGCGTTGACGAGAATATCGATATTCTTGTGCTCAGCGGTGACAGTTGATATGAGGCGAGCTACGGCGGCTTTGTCGCCCAAATTACACTGGTAGCTAAAGCATTTTCTCCCTGCCTTTTCAATGGCTTCTCTAGTGTTGTTTTCAGGGGAAAAGCCCTACGTGGAGGTTCATGACATGTCAGTTAAAAGTCATCCATTCCAAGGCGAGAAAGGCATTACGGACCTTGATTATGATAACATCTGCTCCCGCCTCCGCCAGAGCTACCGCCATAGCCTGGCCAATTCCCTTTGTGGCTCCTGTCACTAGAGCTGTCTTTCTCGTGAGATCGAAGAGGGAGGCGGCCATGTCTGAAGTTTCGTCGGGCAATTCCAATTAGGAACGATTTTAAGGGCCCATTTATCATTTATCAGCTCTGACATGGTTGCACAACACGGTCCAACTTTGTCCCAGGGTTACACCTCCTGTTGCTAAAGAATATCTACATACAGTTACACAAGCCGAGCAAGAGAATAAGTCTTGAGGTTCTGTGGTTACAATTTCCAGTTGACCCATACCGAATTAAAAGGTTGGCGGCGGCGTTCGACGATGATTGCTCGATGATATACGATGTGCGTCGGGTCCCCCAGTATCGCTCGAAGTCCCACTCACGTAACGAGAGTAAGTGGATAGAAATTCAACAAGCTGAATCAAGCTCGCGTATCGTGGGTTGGAGTAATTAAAAACCGAGAAAAAAATTCAAATAATCAAAAAATAAATAAATAATAAAAGAAAAGAAAAATGAAAAAAAAAAGACTAACAAGAAGACTTTTAAGTTCTCCGTAACGCAATCAGCCACTCAGTGGCTGAGCTATCAAAACAAGCTGTAGAGATTCGAGGATAATTGATTATCATTTCGGGTATGTTACATGGCAGAGAGAAAAGGGTGATATATATGTATAAAGTCCCAAAAAAAAGGTGGAACAAAAATGTGCATTATTACAACCAACTGATATGAAGGTAGGTAGATCACCTTAATCCACTGGCTCCTCTTCTAAGAGCGTCTTAAAACTAAATGGTACGAACGGCACGCCATCTCCTATGAAATGCTTGCTCATTGCCTCAACCCAATGCAACCTGAGAGAATGTAGCATAGCACTGGTACCCTCCATGACGCAAAGAATGGCAAAAGTGAGAGTAAACCACATGAAGAACGTGACAATGATTAAGATCACTCTCATTGTGTTGGTTTCTTGGCTAAAAGCTCCACCGATTGTCATGGTCCATAAAACAACAGAAAGCTGTTGATGGGCGAGTGAAAGGGCCCAAAGTCGGAGATACGATGCCGTATGAGACACGCAATTTAGACAGAACTCTATATGGAAAGCAACCGTTAGTGATCTGAGTGAAACCTGGGTCATTACCGTCAAGTATATAACAGAAGGAGAGGGTCTGCATACCGATGGTGTGAATGATTTGATGGATCATCGCCTCAGAAAATTCGAAAGTTTCATGCTCTTCTTCACCTAGGTCCTGCGTGATCATTGCGATACCCTCCGCGTCGCTCGCCATGCTTTCGCGTACGTTGCCTGAAAGATGGCCGTCTTCATTATCTTCATCCAAGGCACTCACACGAGCGGTTTCGCCAAGACCTCTATATCCAAGTGCACGGGCTCGGTTATGTTCCCATCGAAGATAAAACGGTTTCAGAAACAAAAGAATTGGAACTTGAACAAGTGCAAGGAGGAGAAGAATAACTTGGACGGTTGCCTGCCCACGATACAGTTGTTCATTAACCGTACCGGGCTTGAGGAACATGAAAATGAGCAGGTTTAGTAGACCGGGAGGAGATTGACCATGAGCATTCCAGTCCACGATCCACTTGTATATTATCGTGAAAGCCAGGTAACCGAAAATGGACTGGAAAAATATCATTCCGGGGACGAAGTTGCCCCAAATCTCGATTGGCTTTTTGAAATGGCGACCATTTATGTAGGACAAGCAAAGGGAATACGTCATATGGGACCAACCGAGGAGGATACTCAGCTTCATTTTGAAACTGTTAGCGAACAAAAGGTCATTCTCGGTTCCATGCCACGCCCAGTCAAGACCAAAGGGATACCGATAGCTGCCTTTCAGTTTCGCATTGACTGTCTCTCCCTGCTTGAAATTTTCTGGCCATTTCCATGCACTTGGGAAGATTTCGATTGACTTAGAAAAGATATCATTGTATATCAAACCAGTGTAAATCGAAAAAATTCCCATCATAAGCATGATATATCGACCGTAGAAAGCCATGGAAGTAAGCTCGTCTAACTTTGTTTTGAGCAACTTTCTCTCGAAAAGAATCATGGCACAAGCAACCATTGTCATGAGCATGCCATGCCCAGCATCACCAAACATAACTGCAAAGAGGAAAGGAAAAGTAACGATCGTAGGAAGGCCTGGATTGACCTCTCCATACTTAGAAGTTCCGTAGGCATTGATGATAGTCTGGAAACCCTCCGTAAATTTGTTCGTCTTTATATAGGTTGGTGGGGTTTTGTTGGTTCGAATCTGGTTGACAATGGTTGGCACGGACAGCCCAGCACGATCGTTGACATCCTGCAACGTTGTCTTAATAAGTGGAAGAGAATTGGTTGGGCACCAAGCTTCCGCAATAAGGGTCTTCCGGGCCTGGTCATAGGAGAATTTGTTGAGCGTGTGATATGTTGCCTTCTCTTTTTTGATAATGATCATCCACGCAGCTAGAGAGCGGGCGATCTGAGCCAATTCGGCATCCAACGTATTTTTGGTATTCCGCAAAACGCTGCCCACATCTGCCAATCTAGTATTAACGTCGTAGACCTGGTCACGCCGGAGTTCGCTGTTTTCATCCACGCTGTACAAATCGGCTCCAAGTGATTCAGAAATCTTCCTGATCTTTGCAAGAATTTCCTTTCCATGGGCAAATATCACAAAAACATTCTTGTGAATCTCTTCATTATTTGCCGGATTGATAATCGGGTCCGGAATTTCTGACTGGTTCATATAGAGATTTCCTCGCAGAGTCCGCCACAGGATCCGCTCAAAGGAGCCAATTCGATCTCTCGGAATAACACCAGCAACGAAGCCAATATTCATCACCGAGAACGTCTGAGTCTCAGCATCGCCATTCCGGCCTCTGGCGTGTTGCTGCTCCACGTCTCGTAGAAGAGGGGCTTCGTCATTTTCAAAGGATTGGCGGATCTCATCGGTGTGACCGTGGGCCTATCGCTCATGTTAGCTGTCACCTTTAGGGGAGTTTAGAGCGTGTTCCGGGCTGAAGTCTGAACGAACCCGGTCAAAAAATCCACCAGCCTCTCTTAAGACCCATCGCCGTTCAATCAATTCAACCTCACGTTTTTTCAAGGTCTCATAGCTCTCATTCAACGACGCGACACGCTGTTCGAGACTCTCACTTCGGTCGGCAAGCTCATCAATCTCGGATGCCATGGGAGCGGCCAAAGTGTTGGAAAATTCGGAGGATGGTCTCATGGGAATGCCTGCCTTCTCCATCTGCGAATGAAAATATCCTAAACAATATCATATCAAATCAGTACGATATATCTCATTTCGATCCTTTCCAGATAACAAGACATACGCAGCTGCCTCTCGACATTATCCAATCTCCGAATCTCATTTGTAAATGTCCGCTGAAACGCAGTTGTATCGGTGTTTAACTAAGGACAAGTAATTTAAAGGTTAGCCAAGGTAGACTGGAAATATATAGCATCCAGGGCCAACCCACATCGCGGAACTGGACCTGACCAAGTTCACCCAGGGCGCTGACAACCTCCCTGCCGATCTCATTTGCAATATATAGCTGAGTCAGGCTCATGTCCGCTGAGCGGAAGATCGTATCATGAGGAACCCCCATGGTGGTAGCGGGTGCCTGAAGTCCGGAAGGGTATACCTCGTCAGTACAAAGGCCCCTGGCCCGGCTTAGGCTAGAGGAAACAATGAAAAGGGAAAATGATAAGTTAGATAGTGTAAAAGGAGTGACTTAGATAGGGGTTGGTGTCAAGCAATATCACCGCTTGAACCGGCCGTTGGAGGATTGAAGTTGTGAGCTCTTGGTGATTGACGTCGAGCTCTTGGGACAAGCCAAGTAAATATCACGTGATTCTATCGTATCCAGGGCAACTCTAATCACGTGCCTACTGTACATTTTCTATCTGGCTGGCTCACTACAACATTTATCCTCCAATGAGGAAAAGGAGAACGTTTTTAATAACATCTATCCTATCTGAAAGGAATCGATATAATATCTGGCATCTATCCTCATAACAGGATGGCCGCTCTGATAGCTTGCTATTGGGGAAATATTTATTATGTACGTCACATCTATAATCCGGGATTGATCGGATCCCGCCTTTCGCATAACTACATGGCGGACAGTGATAGGCTACGATGAGTGAACGTTATGATCAGTGGAGACGAGCCATTCAGTAGATATAGATATAATAATTAAGAATGATGTCAATAATCACCATCAAGCATTCATATTCCCATTCAAAACCAAAACTAAAGACTTGGCCGAACTACCCACTAGAGCAACAATTTTTTAAACACAATAACCAACAATGTCTGTTGTCAGCGTCTCCCTCTCCCCTTACCACTCCTTCTCCAAAATCCCCGTATCAAGCATAACCCTGATTGCAAATTTCGGTGTCAAGGGTGATGTGCACGGAGGCGCCACCGCCCAGCACCACCCTCATCTTAACCTCGACCCACCCGCTCCCAATCTCCGCCAGGTGCATTTACTAGAGTCCGAGGTTCTCGCATCCGTTGGCTCTGAAACCATGGGAAAGCCTATGAAACAAGGTCAACTGGGAGAGAATATCACAACGGCGGGAGTTGATTTGCTATCACTGGGAAAAGGTACCAAGCTTTGGTTTATCAACGCGACGACAAGGGCTGTTCCAACAAGGGAGGTTGCAGTGGTAGAGGTTACCGGGTTGCGGGATGCGGGGCCGCAGATTGACGAGTTTCAGAAAGGGTTGCAGGAAAGACTGTTGGTTAGAGATGGCAAGGGTGGAATTGTTGGGCGACGAGCTGGGATCATGGGAATTGTAGTGGATGGTGGTGAAGTTAAGTCTGGTATGAGGATTGTTGTGGAGCGGCCGTCAGTTCACCAAAAGTTGGAATGTGTCTAAGGTGACAATTCAGGAGGTTGGTCTGGAGACTTATCAAATGAGTTAAGCACAACGAAGGGTATAACGGGTCACAAAACAACCACATGCATTTTCTATAGTCAATGCCATGCAAACAACCTACACATTATGATCGAATTCTCTACCCACATAAAACAGCCAACCGGGTAACAGAAGTGTAAGAATAAAAAAGGGGACAGATTTAGGAGAAATTAAAAGGTGGAAAGGCATCTAGCGTATCCATATCACACGTGCTTAAAATTATACGTAACGTGTTGAAGATAGTGTATAAACGCACACGGGCCAACATGTCTAAAGCAACAAACCTAAGATACTCCTAGAAACCTGACCAAGCCAAAAACGTCATTTAATAACCCAGTCCACATACGCCAGCCCAAGGGTTTGGGTGAATTAAGGGGAAGCTTCAATATTAAGTTATGTTGCATATTGGGAACCGCAACGACACTTGGAATCTCTAGGATAAAGGGTCTAAGCGAAATAGCTCTTCCAGAGGACCCCAGCAAGATCTTCAAGTTGGTCCGGTTGGAAAGCCTGGTCGAGTAGTGTTAGTTAACCGTCAAATACCGTTAAACAACAGCCTTGGGGGGTTGATATCCTACCTTTACATCGATGTGCCAGGTATCTTGCCTTGTCTTCTTGAATTCACTAATTATTGACTTCACACTTTGACCAACAATTCCAGGATCACCCGCAGCTTTGTTACTCAAAGTGATCAACACGTCGGGCATCCACGGTGGCGGAGGACTGGTGTACGGGAAAGCTTGAATAAGGGCTCCTAATCCAAGGACTGCAGCGTGCCTTGTTACGACGAGGCGGGTATGTTCAGGTGTAGGGGTGTTAGCGCCGGTGGAAACATCAGAAGAGACACCAGAGCCCGAATGGCGAAGTTTCGATTTCTTTGGAAGTGGATTCTCGACCAGTGCCTTGGTAAACTTGTCACGCAATTTGGGAACCATACCGGCTCGTAATGACACGGGAGAACAGCGGATCATGCCAGAAAGCGTCGCCGAAGCACCAGCCCGGACTTCATGTTGGGGATCTTCAAGCATATAGGCAATGCAATCGAAGAGCTTCTCGCGATTGGCGGTAGAGAGCAGGAAAAGGTGGCGGAAATACATTATTTGTATGTTGATCATGACACGAAGCCGCTGATGCCATGAGGGCGACGTGCGGCCAATTCTCACCAGAGCGTCTACGAATTCAGTGTCTTTACCAACTGGATGTGGAATATTCGGAAGATGGCGGAAGACGTGATATGCGAGGGACTGGAGTTCAAGATCCTCCTTGACATCCATCATATGCAGGAGTTGCTGCGTAAATGGATCTGGGAAGAACTGTAGGAGTTGAGTGCATTCATGCGACGAGAGTGTAGAGTCTAGCCAGAGAAGAACAGTCTTGCTCCCCGAAGTGTATGACGATGGAGTCTGCTGTCCAGGAAGTCTTTCGAGGCGCCATTTCTCAAGCTTGTTAAAGACATCGATCACTGTGTTCACAAATTCCTTGCTTGGCTGGTAGGGACTAGTTCCAATGGACGAAACTTGGTTCTGTGCCTGAATCAACTGTTCTATATCCGCGTACGACTCGTAATATCTGGTCCGGTATATTGACCCCAACGTATGACCTATGGCTTCGCGAACCCCTTTGTAAGGGTGATCAAGGTGGGCAAGGAAATCCTCGACAATTGGCTTTTCTAGTCGAAAATGCCAGCCAGAGTCTAGAATGCATTGGTGAAGTAGATTAATTTTGGAACTCTCTTTGAATGCCGCATTCGAAGTCATATCTAGTCGGAAGCTTGTCAACCAGTCAACGAGAGGCCATGAACGACGGGGGTCTCTGCATTGCATTATCATGTGCAGGAATGTCGTCCAATATCCAGAATTCTCCGGAGTAAGCCCATCGGAAAATATTTGTCGAACAAAGGGGAAAGTGTACTCCCATATTAGGCTTCGCTTGTCGACACTCGTATCCGTCACTGAGCCGATGAGAGCTCCCATAATTTCCGCAGTTGCTCGATGTTGATGTTTATCGCTTCCATCCTCGAAAACTAGAGCAATCTCCTCTTTTATGTCATCGAAATTTGCGGCAGTCAACTCATCTCTTAACATGAGCTCGAAAACGTAAAGCAACATCATCGCACTTGGCATACGGAATTTATCCGCTAACGCATCCCTTGGTTCCTGTTTCAAATACCTAAAAAACGTGGCAAACCACTCCCGCGTAAAAAGTTGGCCCATTTGTTTTCGAACATTCCATTCAAGCTCGTCGTACTCGATATCCTGCTTGATGTTAGATTTGTATGCTGGCATTGTCTTTCCCCAAACCAGCCAACCAGGGTAATCGTGGTCAACGTAATATTCTGCGTCGGGCTTGGCGAAACTTGCAAGATACTCCTCAGTCCAGCCCTCCTTGTATCGTTGTGTCGGGACCTGTATCTTAGAAGGAAAATGTTGTACACCTAGGATGTAATCTTCGTATTTATGATTGCAGACGGCTCTCACGTCTACCATTGTGAAAAGAGCGACAAGTGTCTGGGAGTACATGCCTCTTAGTCCTGGGTGAGAGTCGACGGACCCCAGTACGATGAGATTCACCAAGTTCTCACTCGCGACATAATCAAATCTTAGCCCCATCCCAATCACGATCGCGGCAGTTCTGCTAGCCTGTTTCCAATGCGATATTCGTGCCATGTTTGTCAGCTCTTCTGAAAGTTCAGCTTTCTTATGTTCAATCAAAGTTCGTTTCTTTTTAATAGATTGCCGCTTTTTATCAATTATTGGTTGTACATTGGTGCTTGGCGCGATTGATTGAATAACATCCTGGTCAAGCACGGCCATTCTCTCCATCGCACGGCCATAGTCCATAACCTGGTAAACAGCTCCAGTGCAGATCTTCTGAATCGAGGGTTTATCAACCGTACTAGCTTCAATAAAGGTCTTGATAAGCGTAGGAGTGTATTTCCAGTGGCGGCCCACGGGTTTAGCAAGGCTACCAAAAAGGAGAGAGTACAGTCCACCCTTTATACGGGGATAATCGTTTTCTTTGACAGCTTTTTGAAGTCCCTCGATTAAGGGCGGGATAATCAGCAGTCGTGATCCCCAAATTGCTTTGAGAGCGGATTCTCCAGCCCCTTGAGCATTTCGCCTAATATCGGTATATATCGAAATACTGGATTCAGCAAGATCAAGTAGCAAAGTTTCATCCAATTTTGATCGAGGTCGTGGAGAAGCATTGTGCCGGAGCCTTTGGACATGATACACATTCGCACGACGAACAAGAAGGGGCCGAGGATAATCCTTTCGAATACCGCTCACTTTGTATGGCTGGGTGTCGGCTACAAGAAGTTTGGTGACTCGGTCCAGGACATGGGCAGATTTCTCAATACCCACATCGATAAACCATGAGCGATAAGCGGTATACAAAGGAGTGAAGCACGACACATCATCCTCCTGCTTTTCAACCAAAAAGCGGTGAACATTATGCAGCACTTCGCCGGCACGGTGTCTAATCTTATGAATTTCGATATAGAGTGGATCATCTTCTTCCAATAAATATCCAGCGGGATATGGAAATGACTGTCGAATAGTAGAGTCATCTGAACAGTCTAGCGCTGAGTCTTCATCGGAGACATCTTCGACACCATCGCCACCATTTGCATCAGACATGTCGACGTCGTGATCCGCTTGTGAATGTCTCCAATTACCACCGTTCGAAGCCGCCTTGTTATTAAACAACATTGATATTCCCGAAATGATGAGCCTGAGAAGAACCAATTTCCTCGTCACTTCATCTGACCAATCCTTGCCGCTTCCATCTCGGTTGATGCTAGGATTTTCGCTTGTAAGAGAAGTAAGTTGTTCCAAAGCGTTCTCTGCCTGTGATTTAAAAAGCTCAACAGCAAATTCAATCTCTTCTCGTTGCGGTACGTGCCACTTGATGGTCAAATGGTTTGGGTCCTGTCTCTGTCCCCATTGTTCTACTTGTATACCCCTTTCTTTGACATCCGGCTCGTATAAAGAATGATCAATGATGTATGTCACCGTAAGATTCAGAAGCAGATGATGGATGAAATTTGAAACATGGACAGTGGGAATACCCTTGCACTTTTGCTGCATGTAAAGAGCAATATCGAAAAGCTCCTGTCTGTATTTCAAAACTGCAGAGCCAACATGTACAACGCACATGCTCAACATGCTAACGTTCCAAACTAGTCCACGGTCTCGTGGCAAGATATCTGAACCAGTGGTCCTTGTGGACGCTGCACCATTCTCATCTATTTCCGTACGAATAGACTGGATTAGGAGTGGAATAAAGCGTTTCAAAGCTTTCTCAGGGTTGACTTTACAAACGGCGTTGCAAATAAATGCCATCGCATCTCGGGCTTGATGGATAACATGATCCGCAACAAAATCCACGATTTTGTTTAATGCCTGATCGTACAGTTCTGGGGAGAGAGATGCCAGAAGGGGCATGAGGGTAGCGGGTAATGTATTCACGACATTTTCCTCTGGAGAACCGCTGCGAACCCGTGCGGCGTCCGGAAGATTTTCCAGAAGAGTAAATACTCTGCCGAGGAAAGATATCAAAAACTCGCCAAATCCGGTGGTCGATGAGCGCAGTATCATTTCTTCATCTTTATCCGAGAGGTCTGTGTCATAATTCATTTCGACAGCTGCTCCCTCGTTTTCCATCCTTTCTAGCTCACCCGTAATCCACTGGATTGCTAGCATATTCCCGTTTACATCATCACGTCCTTGAGTAAGGTCTTCGAAGGGGATATTGTAGCAGACAGACTGGATGAAAGCTAACGAATGGAGAGATTTTTCCAAGTCGTTAGCATCAATTCCTGGCAATGCCAATCCTAGCAGTGTGGTAATGTGGCATCTAAACCCTTTGGTTCGCACCATCAGCCGCGATAGAACCTGTAAAGATCGAAGGGAAGATGTCGTCCTATGAACCTCTACCAAGCCTTGCATAGACGGATATATTCTTTGTAAGGCGCCGGGCAAAATCAGGTTTGGTTCCAAATATGCCAAGCTTTGAAGGGTAGAAAGCGCATAGTTCATTGCGACCCCGCTCTTCGCATATATCCCCATGAAAGTTACTTCACGGAGGCACAAGACAAAGCGTCGCTTCAACAGATCATTTAGTCTCCGCTCTGGCGGGACATCCATTTCATCATTTCGCTCCCTGTTCCACCGCATAACAAAGAAATCCGCGAGATAATACACAAGCTGCAGCAGTGTCCTTGACCACGAACCAGAGTTTGAAGGGTGGAAGAATGTCTCCACGGCTTCTATTAGACCTTCGAGTCTAGATAATATGCAATCCTGGGATTCAGCACAGGCAGGCGATAGCGACATTACCACCCATCTGGCAATATTGTGAGCAACAGGGTGTTTCCGAGGGTCTCTGTCAAGCATCATACCCAACCCTGCTGAAAGATCGACAGCTGCGCTGTACGATGAGGTGGCCTGTCCAACCGGAATTTCTAGCAGTCTCAATATTGCGGTGAATATGAGCGACGTTTGTTCAGACGAGAAAATTCCGCACTCAGAGAATGGAATAAAGCTGGCTGAAAGGGAGTCGCGTGCCAACCTGGACAAGATATCTATAAAGGCTACATCGAAAGTCCTGGATCGGTTCACCAATGACCAAAGATGGAAATAAGTTGGGAGGTAGTGCTGTGGCAGGAGATCTTTTCTGTCTTCAGGCCCAGGTGAAGTTGGCAAAAATAAGTTTATCAAGCCAACGACGACGAAAGCCCCTTCAGTAAACGACGTGCTGAAATGAGGAAGGAATTCCTCGAGCATTGCTGGCAATTCCAAAGGGTCGAAGTAGAGTTGGGCAAAGGCACAGAGCTTAGTCAGGGTTTTAATATTCCGTTTCAAATTGGTGGAATGAACCAGCCCAGACTGTGAAGGAAGAACGAAAACTTTTATTTCTCTGTAAAGCGGTTTCCAGTCAAGTATTAGATCCTTAACTGGTCGAAGATAATGCTTCCTCCTGCCCTTGGTTAGCCATATAAACAAACATAGGGGGGTATCAAGAGCCTTAAATCTCGCCTTACTTGGTCAAAAGCATAAACATGCTTGCGAATCTTTCCGCAATGTTTGGGTCTATTCCAGGTGCCAGTGCAAGCTCGTAGTATAGTTTGACTAGTTTGATGCGTTGCTCTCTTGTCGGATCGAATTTCAGCGAAAGCCATCCTCTCAGTTCACGCGTCCAGTGTACTGCCCCGGGATTGAAATCTCCCGCTTCAACAGCGATGTAGAGGTGTTTAAGGATCTCTTGAAGATTCCTTTGTCGCTCACTCTCATCTTCAACAGCGTAAGGTAGGTACTTAAAATATGGGTATGTCCTCGGTCTATTGCGTGCCTTTTTGAAAGGGTCGTCCAATAAAATCCTATTGATTTTTATTGATTTCCTCCCTGGAGGTGTTGAACGCGACATCTCATTACTAGCCTGGGTGTGAACTGACCCAAAACGATCTGAGATCCGTTCTTCAGAATCCATATTGTTCGGTATATATCGGCTCTGTCGAGGGACAAGAAAGCTGCGGAGGGATGACGTCGTAGGTACGTGGGAAGGTTATGCAATCAATATCAACTAGACATGGCATTGGGAAGTCAGCTTGGATATGGCGCGCCGGTGAGGGGTAATGAGCACACAAAGCAGCAACCTACCGAAGAAGCTAGATTCTCAGACGTTGACTCCCAGATGTTGAGGTTCGTAAGAACGTTCTTCAACCTTTAGTTGTTGCTAAACCTGGTCACCAACAACAGTGTCACCCGGGGAAGGAGGATTATGATTGCAGTGTAAAGGACCATCCAGTGAATGAAACTAAGGTGAGGTATAAGATTTGAGGACTGGTCGCTTCGTTTGAAAACTGTCTAAGCTCCTTTGACCAGGCTGGGAGCTGTGACTCGCATACGTCCTGAGCTCAGTCGGATGTTCTAATGTTGGGTAGTCGGTTGCTGTCAGTTTCTTGCTTGGCGACCTTTCCTTGGGGCGCAGACGTGATGACCTAATCAGTTTGGATGCTTGCCCCCGTCGCAACTAATTACAGCCAAAGATCAGGAGTTAGGGAATGGCTGGAACCTATGAGCAATTCTCTAGGTTTTGCTGGAAGAAATTCGAAGATGATTGGAGGGGCCGAAAGATTCCGGATTAAAAGGATTTTCTTGCTCGAATAAGAATAAATAACTAACTAACTAGGTAATTGTCTATATTAATAATACAACCTCGCCCAACAGGCAGAATCTATCTACGCAATACAAATGCTGAGACCCGGAAGGCAAACTTACCGTTGCCGTGCCTTATTGAAACCAACCAATAGAACATCTCCGCCAAAGAATATTACAGCCAAAAGCCAGAGATCATGCCGGCGGAAGAAATGATGCAAATAAACCTCCCTGAATAAAGCAATATAAAACCATAGTCTGAACCAGAACACGGGGTTTGAAAAACGAATGCGGCTTGTTCCCATCCTCCAGTGTGCCGAACGACACATACCAGTACCAGAGGGGATACCCGGAAGATATACGATTGATAATTTGCACGTGGTAGTTCGTCAGTGCCAGAGCCGCAAGCACCGCCTGGGGTATTGCTAGCCGGTAGAGACAGGCCCGACAATGTTCTGCTCGTCCGCTATTCTCCGCTCGTTTCTCCGGCTCTTTACTTCGCAGATCGGAATTGCCAGGGGTCTTGAACGCCCACCAAGAAGAAACGCCCAGTAGGGCGAGCATGGGAGTGGCAAGAACGAATAGAGGTAGATTAGATACCTTCCAGTAACTCAGGAATCCCCCGCTGCCCCTACAACGCAACTTGAGTCAGTACACACGTCCAGCCTTGATGTTGAAACCGTAAAAACATACCAGTAATGGTTCTGGACAAAGGTGTAAATGCTTGGGATGGTATTATCACACCAGCTCCTGCGCTCATCCGAATTCTGGCAGAACAGGGTATATGCACGATATTGAGGCCCAACAACACCCAAGAGAATCAAACTCCCACCAGCCACAACAAAAAACATCCGACGAACTTGAGGTAAAGAAATTCCCCTCGAAAAAATGTTAACCAGCCCCAACACTGCATCATACGCGAACAGCATACCACTCAGAATTCCATTACTACGGATCGTGGTTACAGCAGCAAAAAGGCCTCCTGCGGTAAGAAATTTCACATCCCTTGCAAACATATATCCGCGACGGTCATCACGTAGCGCAGATACATATGTATAAATACCCGTCAAATTGAGAAAAGAGAAGACTGGTTCACCATAGGGTGCAGACAGAAAAGCACCTGCAGGAGAGATGATATGAAATGCTGCGGCTAGGAGGGACAGAACATAGCGCCTGTCCCCATCATCAAAGACATTCTTTGATAACCCATAGAGAGATAGTACGGACAAATAATGACAGACATGCGAGAGACCAATGCCTATCATGGCTACACGGAGAGTGTCAGGCTCAGATCCTGAGATCCTCGAAAAGGCTATACAACTCATCATTAGCAGGTTCGCCTAAATCAAATGCAAAAAATTAAAATTAAAACTAAAAAATTTTAAAAAATTTAAATTTAAAATTAAAATCGGATGAGCAAAACCAACGAAGAAGAAAGGTATCAGAAATAATTACTAACTAGAAGATAAAACGGACAACAACTTCGTGTAGCCATAACCAAACGCCCACTCCTGCTCATACCGATACCCGCGTTGGGCAACGTTCACAAAATATATGGCGTCCCATCTTACCAGCTTCAATAAGGGTGTACACCTCCTAGAACTGACTGCTGCTCCGGCTCCTAATAAGGAGTCCGTGGCATTTCTGGATGCTGCGTGCGGAAGAAGTGTTGTGGAAGTATCGTATCCCCAGCCTGGGCTGGCGACAATTGCCAGTAACAACAGCAGCTTCCAAAGCACGAAAAGGACAGATAAGATGACCAATGGGCGGTCAAGCAATTTCCCACATTGCTGCTGCAAAACTGGAGACGGGAGTCGCCTCATGGTTCATATAATAAGAGCAATGGCAGCAAGAAAATGTGGTGGTGGTCGTCGTCGTCGTCGTGTTTAGTGGTTGTCAAAGGGAAGTTTCCCCCATAAAGTTTATGCCGCGGTTTAACTAAGCCACCCTGTCTTTGCATTCATTAATCGGTTCAACCATCGATCACCAAAAGCCGTTTTCTGTCCCCCATCAGTCGCTCGTCTGGAACGTCATCCCCTCATCAGTGCTATTAGTCGTTTTTCCTCAGCGGAAGGCTTTTGACTCTCCAGGCAGAAACATTATTACTCAACCGTGTTCTTTTGGCATCCTTGTCGATAGAATCTTACTCCGTATAATTATTCTATTCGGTAATCATTGTCCTTTCCAGGCATCTTGTTTCGGAGCTGGAGTCAAGTCTAAGAATCTTCGTCTCCATTCATGGGTTACGGGATATGTCCGTTTTCATCAACAATGTCAGCGCTTCTCTTGAGCTTTGTTGTTTCTTCAACTAGAATCAAGTCAAGGACTCAATCTTACCCACCAGCACGTATGATAAATCCAGTTCTTTTCAACGGATATTCCGAGGCTTTATGATTCCTGGTGGAGCACATCCACGGATCTGTTGGTGCCAGTGGGTCCCGAGAGCAGTGGCTTTTAACGCACAACAAAATATGCATTTTCTGTTTTAGCCATCATTGGGCTCTGGTTTGACTCTGGTTCTTATCCAGCCAGCGTGTTCAGCGTATCTCCCGATGTTCAAAGTCAACCACACGTCTACTGCCGACTGGTTCATTTTTGCATTTCACAAAGCATAAGTTGTGGTCTTGCCGCTCTGGCAAGGCTAATTGCCTAGGTACTTTTATCAATATCAAACAATTCCATCTTGGACCAACTGAAGAAGCACCTAGTCAAGAAATGATATTCCCATTTTTTATCACCAATCTAGCCTGGGCTGTTCTTACATTCATCCATATTGGGAGGCCAGTGGCGGTCATTATGCAGCCACAAGATAGCTTATCATCTATGGACAACTCCCCCCCTTTGCCAACGGCTTCTACCAACGGCATCAACGGCTTACTGATAATAAGCGAGATAATGCGAACTGGGTCTATGCTTGAAAATCCATCATCTACGGCAAGATTTTATTAATTCAAACTCCTGCAGAACCACCCAGCACAGAACGTTCCCACCTGTATCGGGCTCTGCCCGCAGTGGACCCCGCGGACGGACCACTGTAGCGCTAATCAAGCTGTGACACTTCACTGCTCTTCGTCAAAGAAGGCGGAATAAGTAAATTCGTTCGGACTCTCGATGCCATAATTATTCAAGATCCATGCACTAGTTAATAAACCTACAGAGGTTGAAAGCCAAATCATGAGGGAAACCCGGAGGAGATATGATGAGAGCTCCATTTACTGGAAACTACAAGAAAAGGAAGTTAAGGAACCGTTTGGCTTTCGGAATTCATAGCTTCTTTTCATCACATATGTTTTGAAAATCAATTTAATACTCATTCGGAGTCTCCGGATGTCGGCACTGTTGATTTCCGGTGGAAGACATCATTTATGTGTGCCACGAGATATGTCCATGAAGAGCGATAGTCCCAGCGAACTGAATTCTTTTTGGGGGGGAGGGGTGGTGTCAAACGTTGTGTCCGATTACTACTTGCAGCCACCGTGAGTTTTAGAGTAATAAAACTCATGTACATGAACTTATGACGTCTGGCGACACACTCATCAAGGCAAACCTTGGGATTGACCGGGAGAGAACCTGGTTAATGTGTTGTAGGCGCCGGGCGCGGCAGCTTCTCCATGGGATTCTCAGAAGATTGGCCCAAGGATGAAGTCAGTCTGAAAGTGGGTTCATGATTATTATTTTAATACGCAGCGTAATCTCAGTAACTATATGGTCGGTAAGTTTAGTTTTATCATTCCATTTTTTAGACAGTTGGTGCTTCTTGATGGTGCACCTAAATTCACCAATAGCAATTACTTCAAAGCTGCCAGAACCTTGCTCGAACTGGCCAAGCCTGGGTAACTAATCGTCCAAAATCCGAAAATCCTGTAGAATAACAGCGATGGGATGCAAGTTCACTCGGTGGCATCTGGGCTCAGCGGACTGTGGAGGCGAAGCACCCGTCGTCTATTTAGCTCCGAAGATGGCGGCGACTTAACTACTTAGCAATGACGGAGCATCACAGGCGGTCGCCATTCGGGCAAATCGTTTTTCTTGTCTGCGGGGATCCGCCAGGCTGCTGGAAAAAAGCCTTGTTCTAATCTCCGTATTCGCCTCTGAAACCCGTAACTGTCCTGGTCAGCCCGTGCATAAGACGTCGCATTCGGTCTTCCTTTGACTCCGATCTCTTCTTCTTGGACCCTTCAAATATTCCGTTTATGCCGTAATCATCTCCAGTTAGAGCTCTATATTTCGTTATTTAAATAGTATGGCAATTTACATTATTATTATTATTATTCTTGTCGCTTGATGATCGATCGTATTGCACTTTTCCTCACGTTGATTTTTCTACGGACCCTTTATTCTCAGATCTCCTTTAAAGTTGATCTTGATACCAGCAAGCCTACACATAAGACACTGCTTTATTCGTATGACGCGGGACATCCACCAACTGGGCTGCCTTACACAAAATTAGCTCCAGGGTGTTCAAAAATAACTACGGTGCGGATTACAAACGATATCCACAACTCTCCGAAAAGGGATCTTCAGCTCTGCAGGCTAGCTCCAGCTGTGAGCCCTGTGGAAGAAAAGCGTTCTATTCAGACGGATTCCTGAGTGGATGTAAGGCTGAAATCACAACCTGGACCCCATACCCTCAGGACTTGATTTTTTGGGAGAATGGAGGAGGAAGTCTTTATGTTAAGCTTCTATTAATTTCCGGTGTTATTGCTCAACAGCTGTGTATTCCACCTCAGAGAGAGTCGTCGCTTTGTCTCATCCTTCGTTCTGCGAGTGCGAACTGGAAGAAATTGTTTTGTGAAACCTCGGAAAACGCCGTCGTCGCCTAGCATTCCTGTCACATTCAGCATTAGAATCTGGGGATACATACCGAGCTTCAGAAATTTGGAAAACATTCGCTTGCTGAAGTTAGAAAACAAACAAGCTCGAATGGTCCCCGGGTAGGGGTCATCATATCCCCTCGTTTACTTGCAACATGTTTGTCAATCTGGGCTTGACAGCTGATGCTGCTGCGGCCCATACGCACGAGTTTTCGAGACAGTCGAAATCTCAACCGAACAGCTCCTTTCTATCAAGATCTACCGCGGCATTTCTTCCGTTGGCATTCATGTCGTCTGCGAAACAGAGCCCAAATCCTGAAGCTCTCAAGCCATTGGAAACCCCACCGCCGAACCAGTTGTCGCCGTTTGCCACACCCCGTTTGTCAAGCGATGAAGAGTACAATCCCGTCGAATCGAAGGACAAGAGCCCGGGTAACCGAACAAAGGTTGTCCCAACTGCTATTGTGAAAAAGCAACAGGCTCGAACAAAGTCATCGTTTAGCTTTGCGCATTCACCCCACAGCACCCGTCGCAAACGTCTGGCAATCCGTCCGAGACTGCTCCTTCAACTGCAGCAAGTATCGCAAACAACGCGTCCTATTCCCGCAGTTGATGTCTTCGCATCCACAATTTGTAGCGTATCTCGAAAGTTCCCCGGCATACCAAGGACAAAAGATGGCCATTCTACAAACGACCTCATTCTCGTGACGAGTGATGCTTACAAGCACCTGGGTGTGGAGGATGATAAGAGTGTTACATCTGACGATCCGCAGGATCGGAGAGAGGTTATTGCGACTATATGCCATCATCGCAGAGAGGGGTCGAAATTGAAAGGGATGGTGGAATTATGTCTGCAACAGGGGTCTCGCTGGAAGGCATCACGCCTACCTTCTGGTGGTTATGACTTTACATGGACTACTGACGGTGGTGAGCAGAAGCGCGTCCGATGGGCGTTGCGTACGAAGGGGAGTCGTCGGACTTCTGGGACCAGCATAGGTCCAGATAACACTTTCGACAAAGGAAAACGATTTGTATTCAGTATAATCGACCCCACGACCCGTCGCCATCCCGTTATAGCATGGATGTCCCGACAGGGAATCGATGTGCTTGACCAATATCCGCTTTCCTCTGCTCCAACTCAAGAATCTTCTTCACCAACCTCCGAGAGCCGCGTCACTGCCTTTAACAACTCACCGCAGCCGAGCGACTATACCGATCCACCATTGATCGAAACTGATGATCATCTCCGAACACTCATCATCGTTAGCGGCGTTTGGATTGCATTCCAGGAGGGATGGCCTCAGGCTCCGATCTACGCCGAGCCAAACCCCACTTCACCGACAACTGCCACCGCCATGGCTCCTCTTTCGTCCTCCTCCTCCTCACCACCACGATCCCAATCCACACAGTTTACAGGAACCGATCCTGAAAAGGCTGATGAGATTGACGAGCGCTCACGGAGAAAGAGTCTTTCATTTTCGGGTGGGCGAATCAGACTTGGGGGTGGCAGCCTGCTCCACCGCTCAAAGACGGTGGACGGAAGATCAAAAAAATCAGGCTTTCCTCGCCGTGTAGCGTCGCAAGGGAAGAGTAGATTAGATACCCACCACGAAGATGGACCCAGCAAAAATGCTACAAGCTTAGCAATGGAACCTCCAAAACCCGACGTTCCCGATGGAGACATGTTCTCCCACCCGGAGCAGTCCACGGTTGACGAGCATAATACAAGGAGGTGGTCGGATTCCAGGGGAGACGACCAGCACCACCGAAGTATTCCAAACAATACTTCATCTCCTCGTTACTCATGCGGCGAACACAACCAGCAGGACCCTAAATCCAATCCTTCTAGCATTTGTTTCGGGCTTAGTAAACCGGAGCAGGCGAAAGGCAAGCGGTGGCGCAGGTTAAGCCATTGGCTCGACTTTGGCAGTAAAAAGGGAAGAGTTTCCTAGTGGACTTTTTCCCCCTCTATGTTTTTATCCACTTTTCGGGCGTATATATATATATATATATTTATATATTTATTTATTTATTTATTTTAATTTCGTGTATATCCAGCATCGATAACCAGTTTTGGGTTCGAAGCCCAACATCCATTTATTGGCGAACCAAGGATTATATTTTTGGGGCACTCTCTAGTTTAATAAATCAGATTATCTCACCTTTTGTTAGCAAGGCCATTCATTGTACCGTATCTAAATTTAGAACCCTTTGCCCCATCAAAGAACATGCTCAACGACGATGTATATGAAATTTTTATGAAAGCCGAACGGGTTTTGGAACACACCCCGGAACCTTGTGTGCCGGGAGAGTGAGATCACATAATAGTTGACTCATCCGTCCAATCGGTTGCGGAGTTTGCGCCTAACTATAATTGCTAGCCCCTTGCGGCTGCAAGCTCCATCCGGCATGGCTGGGGCAGTTTTGCCTAAAGGTACCCGTAACAACTCTCGTAACTCTGGCCATTGTGAAAGTGCACCAGGGCGCCGCTCTCTTTTCCCGCTCTCTATTCGACGTTCTCTCTTTTCTCTCTCACGCTCTCAGCTTGATGTCGGGGTTTGTGTCTTGTGTCCCCCCTTATTCTTTCGTACTCAGTCACGCGATCTGACGCAAGCTTCTCACCCTATCCTTCAGGATGGCAGACGATGACAACAGCAGGAGTTATCTTAGCTTCAGCGCTCAGTTGGATGAAAGGATATCCGATCTCAGTAATTCTTTAGTTGGCCCATCACATTTGTTCCAGCCCAATGCCCAGTTCACTCCCAGATGGCAGAATGCAGATATCCAATCCAATGCTCGGAACGGTGAAGGCTACCCTAACACCTCCCAGCTTCGCTCATTTTTCACGTATGATGGTTACCAAGACCCCTCAGCCGACAATGAGAATCAGGAAGGTTCAAGCGAGCTCTCGTGTGATGAAGAACTTCTAAAGAAGAAACGTGTTGCGGCAATGGCTTCGCTATCACAGAAGAGAGCTGCAAGTTGGGGGGGACCTTCTGGAAATTCGGAGATCTCCAGTGGCGCTGTAGGAAGTCAGGCTCCTCGTACTCAAGTTACAAGCTCTACCACCGATCAGCAGAAGCTCGCAAAGACATCTGCAGCTGCTGTGGGTGCCATGAGTCCAGAGAATGAGCCTTTGTCAGAAGATCAGACCAATCGTAGTGGAAGGACTGATTCGGTCGAGGAAAACTCTCGTCTGCGCCAGATAGCTTCAGCTGAAGATATTGATGGTTTGTTAGCTGAAGGGAGAGTGTCAGCAATTGGCATTACCTTCAAATCATCTACAAAGGATCAGCCTAGCAGCGAAGGTGCTGATATCACGCAGCGGTCGCCTGTTCCACCAAGCGAAAATAGCTCTCAAGCGGCAAGCTATGCACTTCAGAAGCATCAAATCACCCATAGATATTACTACAAGGGCGGATACGATGGCACTAGGTGCACCCGCTCTTCTATCGCAGACGAAGAGCCGATATCAATTCTGGCAGAAAATAGCGACGGTGCTTCCCGTACGGACGTGAAGCAAATTTCTCCTTCGGGACAGGAACCCCGTTCCGATCACAAATCATATCCGGAGCGCCGTATTTATGAACCGCCAAAGCGAGCTTTGGCAGGAAGCAGCCCTTATCGGGCCACAGGTTGGGGTGATGGGTCCACTGCAAAGCCCAGCATCCCCTTGGAAAAACAGTCACATTCTACGATGCCATCCAATCGAGAGACTTGTAATGAGTTCTCCAAGTTACAATTCCATGAAGTTGAAGAACTCAAAGAATGGCTGGTTCACACGGGCTATTATGATGAAAATTACCGTCGTGCAACTTTGCATCGTCACAAGCGAATTGCTGCCTTGGAACGTGAAAAGGAGGATCTCATGAGAGAAGAAATGCAGGAGCGCAATGCTTTGACTAAAAACAACGATCTGGGGCCTTTATTTCCCCTCAAGCACTCTTTCGAGTTGCCAAGTCATAATGCGCAGCCGTCTCCTTGCATTCCCACTCCAACTCTCGTTCCAAAGGCCAGCACGACATCTGACACAAGAAAGTTTGGTGGTACGAGAAAGGAATTGAGTTCGGGATTGTGTGATGAATTGACATCCAGCTACCTCTCCCCCAGCACTGTTTCAAAAAGACTACACTCTGATCTTGACAATGATACCCAGAATGAAAAGGCGGAGAAAATGGTACGGGCTGATGCTAACAGCAAACCCAGGAATAAGTTGTCAAACGAAGAAGGTAGGTGACCAATATATATATATATATATATATATATATATATTCATTGGAATTGTGTATTAGTTCAACTTAAAAAACTAACAGACATAAAAGCAGCTCCGGACTATATGAACGAAGATTGTTTGGATCTCATGAAGAAGCGTAAATTATCTGATGGTGGTGAACCCATGATGGGGGGAGAAGATAAATATTCCACTAGTCGGAAATCATCTAGTGGCTGGGGAAATGACTCTGATCTTTTCATTCATGATTCCCGATATCCTGGTGATGGTGACCAAGACAACTCTTATGAATTCAGGGGCAGTTCTTTGATTTGGAGAGGACGTGGTCGGGGTCGGGGTCGAAGTCGGGGTCGGGGTCGGGGTCAGGGTCGTGGGTGGATTCGTGGACGTGGGCGTGGGCGTGGTCGTGGGGTTTCTACCGGCTCAATTAACCGGGAGGTTACCAGATCCGGATCCTCCAAAGGACCAAGAGGATCCCAGGAATTAAATCTGGCTGCTGGTGGTATGTTCCAAAATCATCCGAAATCTTTTCTGAGATGTTAGCCTATTAACAAATATATCTGTCTACTCAGGCGTCAGTTATTTCCTGATAAAGTGTCTTGCGTATGAGATGGTAGATGCAGCAAAAGTAGAAGTATATATTTCCATTTTCTTGATTTTAAAAATTCACCTGTATCAGCTGGTACATAAGACGCAATTAACAATACTTGCCAGGGCACTTGGGCAACGCAGCCTAAGAATGTTGAGAAGTTTACTAATGCGTTCGAGAGATCTCGGCATGTTATTCTTATATTCTCTGTCAACCAGAGCGGGGCGTTTCAAGGCTATGTATGAAACTCGCAAGAGCATATGCGAATGCCCAACTAACCTTTTCACAGGCACGTATGGAAACTCAACCTGGAGCTTCAGGAGTCGCACCTCCAAGTTGGGTCAAAACCCTTGATATGTCGCTTAGCCAGCCCTTCAAAATATGTTGGTACAATACCGTGAACACGATGTTTCGACATGTTGGTTATCTGAAAAACCCTTATAATGAGGATCACGAAGTTACTTACGCAAGAGATGGTCAAGAAATAGAAGGAAGATGCGGTCGCATCCTTTGTGAGATCCTTGACAAAACAACGGACCTTGTTTCCGCCTGAGATAGGCCTTGGGATCAGAGCGACCCTCGCTGCCAAAAGCTGACCTGGCAAGCCTACAAAATTTTATGCATAAACGCAAAATTGCAATCTCTTTACGACAGAGTTTACTCTTATGTAAGGGAGCAAACACCCATTTGCAGATTCGCAGGGTGATCTGTCAGTATCCCCAATACTTGAATTGAGCAACGCAGTCATTTGTAATGAACAGCAATATACGCATACGCTTTAATGTTTTCAAGATACGACATTGTATAACATACCTCTTCATTTTCTTAAAAGGTCCATGTACAATTGGGCACTCAAATTCTCCAACTGGAAGCGTCACGGTATCCGCGCAGCTTGCCTTCGCCGTTTCATCTGCACTAAGATGCATATCCTTTTTTGTACTTTTATTTTATCATGCACTTTATTCGATCACCAATGGCTTGTTTACACGGTATCTTGCAGCAAATGAATTCATGAATTCACTTTCCAAGCGAATTTATTTCAAGAATGCCCGAGATATCATATTTCAGAATTCATCTTATATGAAGCTCTCCAGCATGGGAGGGTTGTTGCGATTCTATGTATCTTTTTAATTATGTTCAAATTTATCACACTCCTTTACCACCCCTTCACGTGGTTACCATGTCTTTTCTTTTCCTTTCTTTCTCTCTTTCATTTTCATTTTTACTTTTATTTTAATTAGTATTCAGTCATCAGCTTTTCTTTTTCTGCTTTAAGACGTTCGTTGAGTCTGCAATCAAAAATGTATTTGTATTTACATTCCGTCGAGATACAACAACTAAAAGCCGGGAAAACCCGTCAGTTGCGTTCATACTCCCATTACTCATTTGATTGATAAATGGTTGACTCATTATTCATGCCTCGTCATGAAGGAATATATTTATCCGAATCACAGGGAAGGGAAATGATTTAATATCGAAACAAACATCACTTCACAAAAATCTCATTCGCAGCTTTAGCAAATACGCCTCCTCAAGATAGTTAACTTTCTCCTTTGTCAAACTGAATCCTACCACCCATTCATCACTGCCTCATCGATTCTCTCTAAATTTATCCAGTCCCAAAATTGATTATCTCCAGTCTCCTCCAGACTCCATGCCCGTTGTTACCTGCGCTATACTGATCCCCTTCTTTCGCGCCAGCTCCTCCACACGACCACAATCTGCTCATCCACGTCTTGGTCACGAGTAGGGACTGTAAAGCCAATGGGGACATCGGTATGTGCGTGGACTGAGGTCTTTGTGGACCTAGGGGTTGGAAGGACACCGCGGGCCAGTGGCGACCGGGGGATTATCCCAACACCGCTATCGAGACGGTACGGGATCATTTCATGCTCTTCCTCTCGCTAGAAGAGGTTGTAATAGTTATATATGCTGATGAATTGGTGCCAGCCGTTGCGGGCTGCGGTGTTCTGCAACGCCTGAAATTCCCAGGCAACCATCTACATACATATGGATTGTGTTAACATCACTAACACGGCACATAGGGGTAACTACCTGGGGGGGTAAAATTTGCAAAGAAAGTTGATTTAAAACAACGGGAAAAAAAGAAAACAAGAATATCCTCACCGAGCAGAACACCGATGTACCTGACCTTCCCAGACTCCACCACATCATTCAACGACTTCATAATCTCCTCCCGTGGTGTTTCCCTATCCAGCTGATGAATCTGTATCGCATCGATATACGTGCCCAATCTCTCCAGGCTCCCCTCTATGGCATCAAAGATTCATTTTGCGCGACAGACGGTGGTAGGTGACATGCCAGCTGCCACTAACTGTGCCGCGTTTATCTTTATCTCTGGCGTCCGCGGGATGATAATTTTTGGTCAGGATGACCACGCTGAAGCGCGGGATAGAGTAACTAGTTACTGTTTAACCTCTTTTCCAAAGATTATCTCTTGAGCAACCAACGGAGTATATGTTTGCGCATATCAGTTTTCGTTCTTCTTTCGGCATGCAGTAAACATGAAAGGAATATTTTTTTCGGACAAATAAGAGGAGGATGGTGAAGTGTTGAAGAAATTCAGACGATTGTATGCACCGTATCCCACGGATTGGTTTCCCGTTTATTTGTATAACTTGTGAATTAACGGGAGATTTTCTTCTTCTTGAAGCCCATAGTTCCCAGCTGGATATCTTCAACCCTGGAGTAAAAAGGATAATTAGGAACTTGTTGCTTATTTCACTATTAATTTTCTTTTCTTTTCTTTTCTTTCTTTTCAACATTTTTGCAATTATTTCATTTGACATTTGGCAGAAGGGGAACGGGGATGTCTCCAATTGACACCTTCGGATACACATCGAGTATACTCCATTTCATATTTCACCTCATCGTCCTGCGCCATTAGAATTGAACTTTCTCCTTTGGTGAGAAGTCATTTTCAATATTTGCTTCCATTTTTTCCATTGCTTTGTCTTCTCTTCTCTTTAGGAATATGAGAGAAAAAAAAAATCACTCACTGGGCATGTCGCTGATAGAAGACACGCTGAAGGAGCTTCGTGGAACGGCCCCCATTTTCATACATAATGTTGAGCGCATTCTCTGCAACTTAGTATCCCTTTGCCCTTCCGTTTCGGCTTTCAGCCTTCCCATACCAAGAATCATTTGTCGGTCCTTGTGGAGTTAGGACGCATTCATGATTGCTAATTAAAGTAGGGGGCGGATATAAGGGTGGAGATCTCAAGGAAGCTAAGCCTCAATCTTGATCCCACCCTTGCGGGATTCGGGTGCAATATCAGATTGCCAATGATGTAACGTGATCCAGGGGAAAATGAATTGTCACAAAGTTATTGCAATCCGCATATGGTTAATATATATTGAAGTTATCACAGATAGACTGTTGTCCAACCAATAGGTAAACGAATGATTTGGTTGCAAGAAATGAGGAGATGATTGTTGTTGAAGAGCTCCAAAACTTGAATCGACCAGGGAAACGAAAAACGGACAAAGGCACCGTCCATCACTCCTTTCAACAGTAAAACGCGAGAATAAGAAAAGGCACAAGAGGAATGAAAGAAGCAGAAAGTTCCCACCCTTAACACACTCAATGCACCATCTCCGCCCTCAGAGTTTTAAAAGCAATAATACGGCTATGAACAACATCCACCGACTCTGCGACATCAAGCTCTCTCAGAATCCCGCTGCCAACGTCATACAGTACTCCATGCAGCTTCAACCCTCTCTCCTGAATTGCATCTAGGACCACACTATTTTCTTTCAGCGTACGCAGTCCCTGGCGCACATTGATTTCTGCCAGTTTCTCCGCCGCTTCACTGGTATTCAAATCATTGAGCAGATACAGGTTCTGTTCTCGCAGGTGGCGGAGAGGCATGAGCCAGCTATCCAGTAGACCCAGTCTCTTATTTGCGAGAGCGGCAGCTATGCCACCGCACGATGTGTGACCACACAACACAATGTGCTTGACTTTCAGGTAGACGACTGCATATTCTATCACACACGCGGAGCTCATGTCGTTGTATTGAATAACATTGGCGATGTTGCGGTGAACGAAGACATCACCAGGCTGCAGACCGAGGATAGCTGTTTCGGGACACCGAGAGTCGGAGCATCCGATCCAGAGGATTTCTGGGTGTTGGGCTGCGGCGAGTTTGGGGAAGAGAGATGGATCCTCTTCCGCGGTTTTAATAGCCCATTGACGATTTTTTGCTAAAGCCAAGCGATACGCGTCTAAAATGGAGAAGTCCGTTTAGCGTTGATTCTTCTGTAGACATGAAGTGGGAGGACAGATGAAGGGAATGGGGGCATGTCGAGAGGCATTTCAGGAAGGGGGGAAATCTTTTTGGCATGACATGCGTATCAATCGTCAATCATGCAAAGGGTGACGTCCATATTGGAGATTTTGCGAAGCGATAGGAAAAGATAAGAGAGTTGTGTAGAAGCCATATGAACAAACACCAATACCTTCTGCGCTATCTTGAAGTATAATTTTATCACCCGGCAGCCATTGTCCTTATATAGATAAATACTTTTCAAGATGCAGTCCTCCAGAACCTCAGGTGTGACAGAACTCGATATTTATATGAGTGCTGACATCGCGAGTAATTTTTGAGACGAGAGAGGCCTGACAATACAAATGTCGAATAAGTGTTTATCTGCTGGTTTGTGTCAGCCATTAAATGTCTTTGGATCAGAGAGTGGAAGATATCCACCTTGGAAGATGAGAAAATTATGTCTGCAGGGTATATCTATAGATATTCAAAGGCTCCAGTCCTTTTCCTCTGGGAAATTTTAATTCTTTTTTTTTTTCCTGTTGGGGTGAGAGGGTGTGGTCTTTTTATAGCTCGATCAGGGCAGAAAAGGGGAAGGGGGTATAGAGCCAAGAAATAAGCAGTAGCAGAATTGGAAACCGGAGATGGAATGTATTCCAAATATGTATATGAAGATACAGGACCACATTCTTCGCCAGGTTTCAGTATACATACAGCCAGCCAACGGAACTGGTGCAGAGGAAGGGTAATAATTCCTGTACATGCTTGAACATGTGAAGTAAGATTGACAAGCGGAAAAATTTGACGCGGCGGACGCGGCTCGAGAAGGCACCACCTCGCTGTATAGTCTGGGGACATCCATCATCGATCCTCCAACATGGGATTTTTAAATCTGTCTCAATCTCCAAGAATTATATCGACAAGTGGGCAATGAGAGGCCACGCCACCAATGCTTGAATGTCAGAGGCAGAGGGGACGGAGAGGGACGGAAAAGACCTCCGGAGGGTGTGATATCTCTAGAAGGATGGATCTGAAGCATGAAACATCATGCCCGCTCAAGGCAAGACGGAAGTGGAAGAATACAAGTGAAAATATATCGGACAATCGGATACGACGATGACCAGGATATCAACATTCCACTGGAGGCTCTCAGATATACAGCATGGAGGCGTGAGCATTAAAAGTCCCGTTGAGGATGAGGGCATGAAGATGCCAAATCTTTAACTCGTCATCGCTTCTCATCACTTCAGTGTCTGTGTCCGGCTGGAACCTCCGAGTCAGAGATTGATCCATCGCGGGGTTGGGGGGTTGGGGGGTTGGG